CAGTACCTCAAGTAACAAAAATTACTCCGACCATGACTTCCTTATTCTCCCAAATATGCTTCAAGTTCCTCCTCCTCGTCTTCCTCCTTAGCCATGGGAACTCCCAGCCACAGCAGGATAATGGAGAACAAGCAGTCCTACTGAAACTGAAGCAACACTTGCAGAATCCACCGTCTCTCTCCCACTGGACTTCATCGTCCAATGCTACCCTTCATTGCAGCTGGCCTGAAATCACCTGCACCGATAACTTAGTCACAGCGCTATTACTCAGTGAGAGAGACATCAAAGTAACAATCCCTCCATTTATTTGTGACCTCAATAACTTGACCCATCTTGAGCTTCAGTTCAACTACATTCCGGGTGAGTTTCCAACGGCTCTCTACAACTGTCCCAAGCTTCAGTACCTTGACCTCTCTGAGAACTACTTTGTCGGGCCGATTCCGGATGATATAGATCGCCTGAGTCAGCTCCAGTACCTGAGTTTGGGTGCTAACAACTTTTCTGGTGACATACCGGTGGCTATTGGGCGGCTATTGGGGCTCAGGACTCTTCTGCTCCACCAGAATCAGTTCAATGGTTCCTACCCGGCCGAAATTGGTGACTTGTCTGAACTTGAATATCTAGCAATGGCAACTAACATGAAGTTTCTGCCATCCAGGTTGCCCCAGAGCTTCACACAGTTGAAGAAACTGCAGGTTTTATGGATGTCCGATTCAAATTTGATCGGAGAAATCCCGGATATGATCGGAGACATGGCAGCTCTTGAGCTTCTGGATTTATCAAGCAACAGATTAACGGGGAAAATCCCGGATGGTTTGCTCATGTTAAAGAATTTGAGTGTATTGTATCTTTACAAGAACAAGTTTTCCGGAGAGATTCCCCAGGTAATTGAAGCATCCAATCTGATTGCGCTTGATCTTTCGATGAACGATTTGACCGGAAAAATACCAGATGATATTGGGAAACTACAGAAGTTGGCAAATCTGAGTCTGTTCTTCAATCAATTGTCCGGTGAAATTCCTCAGAGCCTCGGACAGATGCCAACATTAAAAGATGTCAGGTTGTTTAGCAACAACCTGAACGGTGTCCTGCCTCCAGATTTCGGTCGGTATTCCAGACTTGAAGGGTTTCAGGTTGCGTCTAACAGGCTTACAGGGAGGCTGCCTGAGCACTTGTGCTCCGGTGGAAAGCTGGAAGGAGTTGTTGCTTTTGATAATAATCTCACCGGAGAGGTACCGGAATCGCTTGGAAACTGCAGTAGCTTGAAAGTAGTCATGATTCAGAACAATGGGTTTTCAGGTAACATTCCCAACGGGCTATGGACATCTGTGAATTTGTTGACCATGATGATAAGTGATAACCTGTTTTCCGGCGAGCTTCCTGGTAAAGTGTCCCAGAAACTTACTCGGCTTCATTTGAGCAATAACAGATTCTCCGGTGCGATTCCGGCAGGCGTGAGCTCGTGGCAGAATCTGGTGGTTTTCAATGCCAGTAACAATCTCCTAAACGGTACAATTCCGAGAGAATTAACAGCTCTTTCTTCTCTTAATACTCTTTTGCTTGATCAAAACCAACTTCAGGGTTCCCTTCCATCAGATATAGTCTCATGGAAATCCCTGGTTACTCTCAACCTTAGCCGGAATCAACTCTCCGGACAAATTCCGGGAAGCATGGGTTTTCTGGAACATCTTCTTTATTTGGATTTATCGGTAAATCAATTTTCTGGTCAAATCCCTTGGCAGATTGCCCGCCTTAGGCTGAATTTCCTCAACCTCTCTTCAAATTACCTCACAGGAAAAATCCCAAGTCAGTTTGAAAATGCTGCCTTTTCCGATAGCTTCCTGAACAACTCCGGTCTTTGCACAAGTACCCCAGCAGTGGTAGACGTCAACCCCCGCAGTTCATCGCCGAACTTTAGCAGAAATTTTCGTACATATCGAGCTCTGGTGTTGAGTATTGTGATGGTAATCACAGTACTGTCTTTATTTTCTTCATTCTTATTGATCAGGTTTTACTGGAAGAGAAATCAGGAATCGAATATAACGTGGAAGCTTACCCCTTTCCAGAGATTGAATTTCACAGAATCAGAAATCCTGTTAGGATTGACTGACCACAATGTGATCGGAAGTGGAGGATCAGGGGAAGTTTACCGCGTTTCTGTGACTCATTCCCAATATGTTGCTGTGAAAAGGATATGGAATGACAGCAAATTGGACAGGAAACTTGAGAAGGAATTCTTGGCGGAAGTCAATATTCTGGGGGCAATTCAACACAGGAACATTGTGAAACTATTATGTTGCATTTCAGGGGAGAACTCGAAGCTTCTAGTTTACGAGTACCTGGAGAATCATAGTCTGGACCGGTGGCTGCATAAGAGGAAATCACCATCAGCAATCCTGGATTGGCAAAAGAGGTTAAAGATTGCGGTTGGCGCCGCTCAGGGGCTCTGCTACATGCACCATTACTGCTCTCCGCCAATTGTACATAGAGATGTGAAATCGAGCAACATTCTATTGGATTCTGAGTTCAATGCCAAGATTGCCGACTTTGGTCTTGCTAGGATGTTAATCAGACAGGAAGAACTCGCAACAGTGTCGGTTGTTGCTGGATCTTTTGGCTACATAGCACCAGGTGAGTTATACTGAACATACCATCACTACCTCCTATTTCACTAGCTGTAACTTCAGTTAAACCTCGTATGTTTCTGATATTGCAGAGTATGCTCAGAAAAAAAGAGTAAACGAGAAAATCGATGTTTACAGCTTTGGAGTCATCCTGCTAGAACTAACGACAGGAAAAAAGGCTAACCATGGAGATGAGCACTCATCGTTGGCACAATGGGCACAGCGGTACTTTCAAGAAGGAAAACCGGTCGTTGATGCGTTGGACGAGGATATAAAGGAACCTTGTTACCTGGATGAAATATGCGTTGTGTTCAGACTTGGGATCATCTGTACGAGTATAATGCCTTCAGCTAGACCTTCCATGAAGGAGGTTCTGGAAATCTTGCTCTGTCGTGGCCATCCTACTAGTTATCTGGACAAGAAGTCTGGGAGTGAGTTCGATGCTGCTCCTCTGCTCGATATTTGAAGCATAGTGGAATCTCCATCAGCAGTCCTGGATTGGCAAAAGAGGTTGAAGATTGCAGTTGGCGTTGCTCAGGTGCTCTGCTACATGCACCATTACTGCTCTCCGCCAACTGTACATAGAGATGTGAAATCAAGCAACATCCTGTTGGACTCTGAGTTCAATGCTAAAATAGCCGATTTTGGTCTTGCTAGGATGTTAATCAGACAGGAAGAATATTACGGAAGTGTGATTGGATTCATCTCATATATTCTCATTATTACTGTAAATATAGTTTCCATATATATACTTTCCTTTTGTATAGTGACCGCTTGTATATATGTTCATCAATGGAATGAAAGATCATCGCATCATTTCTGCAATAATCCCTGGCTAACCACTTTAATAAAGAACCCGCTACGGTGTCGGCTGTTGCTGGATCTTTTGGCTACATAGCACCAGGTGAGTTATACAGAACACACCATCGCTGCCTCAAATTTCACTAGCCAGAGCTTTAGTTGACTTTGTATGGTGTTCTGATATTACAGAGTATGCTCAAACAACAAAGGTAAATGAGAAGATCGATGTTTACAGCTTTGGAGTCATCCTGCTGGAACTAACGACAGGAAAACAAGCAAACTATGGAGATAAGCACTCATGGTTGGCATAATGGGCATGGCGGCACCTTCAAGAAGAAAAACCAGTACTTGATGCGTTGGATGAGGATATAAAGGAACTTGTTACCTGGATGAAATGTGCATTGTGTCCAGACTTGGGATCATCTGTACGAGTATATTGCCTTCAGCTAGACCTTCCATGGAAGAGGTTCTGGAAATCTTGCTCTGTCTTGGCCATCCTTCTAGTTATCTTGACAAGAAGTCTGGGAGCGAGTTTGTAGCATAATGGAATCTCCAGCCGCCTGGGCGTTAGTTTTGTATCAGAAAATCTGCACATGTAACTATGCTGCCACTGAGAAACAAGACCATACAAGGCCATATATTATTACCATGTCCATTTCCAAAAGAACATTTTTGCAAAAAGCAGCAACTCAAAAAAGAATGTACATCCCCCATTTTATTATTCTCTAGCTGTGGGGAGATCAGTATAAACCAAGAATGAAGTTTTTGGCTACTATTGTTCACTCTACACGCACTTGTGATAGGTTGCTCGATTATAAAATTTGGATAACCATAAACTAAGGGTTGTCCAGAATGATCATCTAATAATCCAGATGAAGAATGGAAGAGCTAAAGTACACAAAAATTGAAATATGACTTGCTTCTTTTGTCTAGCCACGCAAACTATTTTTAGGATTCCTCAACCTCAAGGTACTGGGAGTGAGAAGCTGCAAGGAGGGCAGCCCCAATGCCAGAGCCATCATTGGAGAGCTTGATGACAATGTTCTCTGAGACTTCCTCTCCTAGTAGCTCCTTCAAAGTGCTCCTTAGGCACTCTCTGAATTTAGTGTAGTGCTCAAACAACCCACCATCCACAGCTATCACAGACTTCTGCTTTTCACCATCTTTGACTGTATCTCTTCCTAATTTCTTGAGGATGCCCACAATTCCAGCTGCAGATAGCCTGGCACCACGAATGGCAACAGCTTCACAAATTGCAACTATAGCTTTTCTCATTTTAAGGGAGCTATTTGATATCTGAAACATAATAAAGAAGAGATAGCTGATCAAATAACAGAACTGATCTGGTAATAGTTCTTTATACATGGAGTTAAGAATAGTGATAAAAATAGATCACATTGCTCATTAAGGGCACGGCATACAGATAAGAAGGTACATTTCAAGGGCTTAAAGAAAAATATGCACCATCAAACCAGTCAATCGGAAGAGTACTATACCTCTAAAATGTCCTTCAGTTTGCTTCCAACCAATTTCAAGTCTGGGGTCGTGTCTTCATGCATTGCAGACATGTCAGGAGTCCTGTGAAGTTTAAAGGAAGAGTTTAACAGCTATCTTTGCTCTTAACATTCCCATAAACAATGTGTAGCATTTAATCCATCATGGAAATATTTTATAATGTGGACAAAAATATTACCGTGTTAGACATTGTCAAAATAATAATCAGATTAAACACACAACAGCAAGTAGCATGCTGCGGTAAACCACCTAAATTCTATTATTTCCAAACAGACTGGAATTAGCTTAGCGTTCAATTGGATTCAAGGGTGATTGCATCCACATTACACCATTCAGAGTTGATACTGCTGTTCACACCTTTTTTTGCAACAAAATGAAGTCCCCAATATGGTCTTTTATCACTAGAAAGTCACATAACTGATGATTCTTAAATAGTAAGGCTGCATCAATGTTCAATTATAAAATATAAAACATTAAATTGTGACATTCACAATTAGTTGAATAGACAAGGATAAGGCAAAAAGAAGTCATGGATCATAAGAACAAGTTTTGAGGAGATCAGTGTCTATTAAGGCATACCTCAGTATGAATGGAATTTTCAATTTTGGTGGAACAGTATCACCAAAAAAGGCTGCTTCCTCAGCCATCTTGCACAGAACTCTGCGCACAACCTCTCCCAAGTACATCCCAGAAATCATCTTTTCAAAAATCTGCAGTAGTTGAAAATGTTACATTAAGATGTGAGCCATTTGCATAAGCAATAATAACCATGGAAATCTAAAGGAACAGACCTGCTCCCCAGGGTTTAGACTCTCAACGTCCAATGCGTGATCATATTCAGTTAATGGAAGGTGTGATGACCGGAAGTTACCCCATTCCATGTTGATAACCTGAAGATGTTTTAGAGCTCTTTACACAGTTAACAGCTAAGAAAGGGTTGACCGTAATCACAAACACATTATACATCTGATCCAACAATGAATAGAAGTAGAGAAAATACGATAAATATTGCTCACCATTTCACCTGATTTAGGTAGAAGCCCCTGCCATTTAGGAATTGCATGAGCACGTTCTACATAAGCTGCATTTGTGCCCGTGCCCAAGATTACAGCAGCAATGGTATCTTGGTCATAGTATCTTCCACCAGCTAATGTTCCAATTGTGTCATTGACCTGCATCATTCAGAAGATTAGAGAGTAGTAACTTTAAAATATTAGCATTAATAACAAGGCCAAGCTCCAGCCCAACAGCAGAAGCTAATTATAGATTTACCAAGGCAGCAACACGCATATCAAGGCCAGCCCTTTCCATGGCTTTGGTCAATTCTGCTACAACATCTTGCCCAACCTATACAATGCCAACCAAGGGAAAACCATAAAAGAACCACAAGGATCAGAAAATAAACAATGCTAGGAGTTATTATGGCAAGTTATTCTAATACATAGAAAATCATTTCAAAAGACTGCAAAGTAGGAATCAAGGTGATTGGGACCAACTGTATCTTCTATAGAGAAGCCCTTTGTCCATTTTATAAGTGTCCCTGAAGATATCGATGTTTGCCTGACAGGGAATGAGAAGGTAAATCCCAGCTCCCTTTGTCTACCAGGTGACACATGTAAACCTTCACCTTCTGTAGCAACAAATTTTGCAAGAGCTTGTACAATATAATCAAACAATGCCTGAAATTAATCATAATTTAGAGACATTCAGAATATTAAACAATCCAGGAAGAATTAAGGTATTGTTAGCTTGCATTGAGAAGAATCTCACTTCTGAACTCTCAGTCATCAAATGTGGAGGAATTGAAAATTCCTCAAATTCTGGCTTAATAACATGGTTTTCTTTCCCACCCAACACTATACGAAGAACACGGAAGTTTGTACCACCAAGGTCCAAGGCATAAAATAGCCCCTTCTCATCACTGGAAAGATAAAGACAAAAGTGAAAAGCATGCTTTGCTGACTTTTCTATATAAGCATAAAAATCTAAAATTTTGGAAATATTCCTGCAAAACAAATTCTTTGACAGTTAAAAAAACTGCAACCTGTTATATTTTAACTTTTAAAAAATCCAACATTTCTCATGCATTCAGCATTATGTAAATCAACATGGCAGTTTATAAGAATCCTCCAATGAATATTGACAAATTTTTTCAAGGTCAAGTGTATTAACCAAGAAGTCAAAGCGAGGTACCCCAACTGCAGTTAATTGGCTATACAAATGTTTTGTAGCAAGTAAAAGAAGCACATTTTCTGCTAAAATTCCTTCACCATCACACATTTTCAATCAAGTAGAGCAATCAATGAATCCTGAATTCCTCAAAATCAGAAGTTGGAAAGCCTACGGATCTCAAGCATTAAGAAGAAAAATCTCTCTGATAGGAAGAAAAAAACAGTCCACCATCATAAATTGGCCATGTTAAGTAAGAACCGAACTAGCAAACAAAGTTTGAGGAATCTTATCCCATCAACAAATAAGACAAAAAAATATGCAATTTATTTGTCAAATGGTAAAGTGATATCCCTCTTTAATATCCTTTCAAAGACCACTACCTTTATTAATAGCATATCATTATCATCATAAACGGTAAGCAATGAAGAATCATTAGAAAGAGAATTTTTTAGAAAAGCAAAAGAAATGACGAGCTTTAGGTGGTAAGACATGCTCCAAAAAGAGTTAAATAAGCTATCCAACAAAACCAACGGAAGCAGAAGGTGATAGATATTCGACAGCTGGTGGGAAGGATAAAGGTAAAGATATAATGAGCATGGATTACTCTTCCTAACAAGTTCATAAAGGGGAGAAAAAGAGAGATGAGCAAAAGTTAATCAACACAACAAGCAAATCCTCACTAACAAAACTAAGAATCCAAAACTAGCTTTTGCTAACTGAAAGTTCAATGACCATCTAATTTTAATCAAAATCACTTCCTTCTAGTTGCCATGTACCACAATAAGCAAAATCAAATTTACCAGCTGTCAAGCTTCTTTGTCAGAACAGTTTAAACTTAAAATTCAGATGAAAAACAGTCCATTTTTTGGCTTGAAAAATGAAGAAATTACTAGGAAAAAATTAACAAAGTAAGCAGGAAAGAAATATATAGCAGAGAAGCTGATGATCAGAAAAAGTTACAAATTTGAATCTTAATAAGAACTCTAATATGGTTCAGGCAGAAACCCAAAAACACACAAAGGAGAAAAAGATAATTAGAAGAATTAAACTGGAGCTTTAAGCTACAAAAAGCATACTTTTTAAGCAGAAGTTGAACATAAAGCAGAGAACTTTTTAACAAATTGCTTGCTAAAAACCGCATAAACAACGGGAATCTAAATGGGAAATCCAATAAATGATCAATCAATATCATAAGATTCATAACCACAGCTCAAAGTATTAATTTATCAATCAAGATGTCATTTTTACTCAATCAAGAAAGCCAAAAAATCAAACTTGATCAGGGAAACAATTACCCAGTAGGGAGATTATCGATATAGCTGATGATCATCTTAAGCTTGCTCCCACCTTCCGACGCGAGACCGGCGTGCATCTCGACCGTCATGGCATCCGCCACCAGTCTCAGCTTCGAGATAGGGGTCCCACACGTCTCCTCAAAGTCCTTGAGAATTGCAATGGCCCGCGCCCACTTACCAGAGCACCTCATCCTATGGCGCACCACTAACGCCGCAGCAGCGCACACCGCCGCCGCCGCAACCACCGCCGCCCCAACCGCCACCCTTCCCATCACCCAAGCCACCAAAAAACAGCTCACCAACTGATGCAAAGCTGCCCCTCTAATCAGTTAAATTAAAACCAAGGATAAGGAAGGAATTTCTGAAAACTTTTTTGAGAATTCCTCAGAAAAATGCAAATGTATGTAGGTTGTCTTTTTCTGAAAATAAGGTAGGACCGTAGGAGAAGTGAAGAAGAAGAAGAATAACAACTTTCTTTTTTGGAAAAAGTACTGCTATTTTTCCTAGATACTTTTCTGCCTTGTTTTTTCTCAGCTTGATAATCAAGACAACTCAAGCTTGAACGAGGGTGGGGAAATTTATAGTACTTCAAGAAAAATGGATAGTGTTCCAAATGGGTATGTTTTTTGTGGTGAAGTACATAAATGCCCCCTCGGTTGTCATTTCTATGATGCTTTTGGATTAGAACACTATCCTTGCGAATCTAGATAAACATAAACATAAAGAGAAAATTTTGGTGATAAGTGGATAATTAAAATTAAGAAATGTCAAAAATAAAAGACATGTTTGGTTTCTTTGAAAAATTAAAGATATAGTAATAATTAATTTAAGATTTTTTCTAGATTTTGTGTAAAAAATAATAGTTCTTTTGAAGTAAAAGAGGTAAGATATCAATTAAGAATTTATTTAAAATTAGTTTTTATTTTTTATATTTTTAAAAAATAAA